GCCCAGTTGTTCATTTGTTGGTCATCATCTTTTAAGTACTATGTATGATTCATAAAAGGCTTTTGAAAATAAACACTTTATGGGTGTACCAAAATTTATCTTTCTGCTGGGTTTCAAACTGTAATAAAAATAAAAAGGCAAAACCCTGGTAACTGGATGTTCTCTTGTTATTACTGTTCCTTTCACACCTCTAAATCAAACGCATTGATGGGAACTTTGCAGATTTCTATGTTTAGGCAGATGGACAATAAAGAGCTCCCCTAACTGTGTTGGCCATACATTAAATATCATCAGTACTACAAATAAAAAAACAACAAACAAAACCCCAATCAAACTTTAGCAGGTTTTGTAAACAAAATAGATGAACAAAAGAAGATCCAGTGTTAATGCAGAGCTGGCTATTCTCCTTGTAGCCTTGGAGGAAAATTGGGCATTACTGCACTTTCTGAAAATTTGTGGGGTGGAGAAGAATTCTGAAATTACAGTTTCTATTAAACAACATGCTGAAGAATTTTCTCTCAGAAAACATTAAGGCTTAAACAGTGTGTCTAGACTGTTTGATGATTATGTGGATCAAAACTACTCCACATGGTACTTACAGGAATGACACTTGCTGGAGCACTAATGTCTTATGTTTGTGATTAAAAGTTTCTTTCAAGGAGATAACTACATTTCTGCAGTGGATTTAATTTCTGAGTTCATTTGATAAATAACTGTAGAGTGTTATTATAATCCTTATGTTGAGCTGACAGTTTTTAAGCCAAATTTTCTTGGTTTGTATCTGGAAGAAGAGGACATACCCTCCTAGCCTGATGTTAATAGATAAATAATTTTTACAATAAATAAATTTTAAAAGCTGATCTTGTAAAAGTGACTTGTACAGCTGAGCACAATTTTAAAACAGTATCTAAAAAAGCACACTATTAGAAATGTAAATATTTCAAAGTTCTAAGTTATAGCTCACACAATCACAGAATATGCTGAGTTAGACTGGACCCACGAGATTGCTCAAGTCCAACTCCTGACCCTGCACAACACCATCCCCAGGAGTCACACCATGTGCCTGAGTGTGTTTTCCAAACACTTCTTGACCTCTGTCAGGGCTGGTGCTTTGACCACTTCCCTGAGGAGCCTGTTCCAGTGCCCAACAACCCTCTGGGTGAAGAGCCTTTTCCTACTGTCTAACCTAAACCTCCCCTGACTCAGGTTCATGCTGTTGCCTCAGATCCTCTCACTGGTCACCTCAGAGCAGAGATCAGTGCCTGCCCCTCCTCTTCTCCTCACAAGGAAGCTGCAGAGTGCAGTGAGGTCTCCCCTCAATCTCTCCAGGCTGAACAGACCAAGTGACCTCAGCCATTCTTCATACGATTTTATCCTCAAGGCCCTTCATCATCATCATTGCCCTCCTCTGGACACTCTCCCATAGTTTAATGTCTTTTTTACATGGTGGCACCCAGAACTGCCCCAGCACTGGAGGTGAGGCTGCCCCAGAGCAGAGCAGAGCAGGACAATCCCCTCCCTTGCCCACTGGCCATGCTGTGCCTGATGCCCCCAGGACAGGGTTGGCCCTCCTGGCTGCCAAGGCACTGCGGCTCATATCCACCTTGCCATCAACCAGGACCCCCTGGTCCCTTTATGTAGCACTTCTCTGCAGCATCTCATTCCTCAGTCTGTCTGTACATCCAGGGCTGCCCCATCCCAGGTGCAGAATCCAGCACTTTCTCTTGTTGAACTCCGTATGGTGATTGTCCAGCCCTGTAATTTGTTGAGGTTTCTCTTACAAATGTCTATAGAGCTCTTGAGCGTCAAAACCTGATAGACCTGGGCATCACAAGAGAAATAATTTTGGATCTTGTGACAAAGTACTCTGTTGAACTCTACCCTTAAGAACTTTAGAGCTTTGCATATAATGAAGATACTTTTACAGCTTAAATATTGGAGTGCTCACTGATATTTCAGAACTTTCTTTACCTGAACCCAAACTGTGGCAGCGTTAGAAATCCAAATAATGTGAAGTTTATTCAATAAGTATTTTTAAAAATTGTCAATTACATTTTGCAGTTTTGAGAATGTTCAGCAGTATTTTTATGATATGCATATGTATTCTTAAATCATCCGCTGTGTTGCTACAAAGAAAAAAATAAAATTATTCTACTCTAACATCAGTAAATCAATCATTACACCCCCTGCATGTGTGAACCAAAGTCCACACTGCAGATGGAATCGGCATGATTCTTAACTTGTGTGCATGCATGAATGTAAATATCAGAGCCTCTATGCTCAAGCATTTTAGGGGTTTTATGACCTCTTTTGCTAATTAAAATTAAGAACTTTTTCATTTAATTAGGTTATATTGATTATTTTCCTGATACCGAGTTTGGTATATTGCTTGAAATGCCTCATTGCCAGAACTTACATTGTTTTTGTTCTTGAGCTGTTGAACAAATTTTTAGTGGGCTCACACTGCCTCTAAACAGTCAAAACCTCAACTGCCATCCATCAATTCCACACAGACTGCAGGAGTGGGATCCTTGGTAGCAATGGGAAAAGAGTTTAACTAGCAATCAGATCTTGATGTTGATGTTGTCGCACTTTTTTTTCTTCAGTTACATGCATGAGTTTAAGTTAATTTTGGATCAAATTCCAAAGTCCTTTTGATACTGAGCACTATAAAATCTTAAAATTTGCTCTCTTTACTGCAGTTGAGAATCCAGTGTTTGTTACACATGTATCCTTAGAAAACACCTGAAGAAAGCTAGGTATCCTACAATTGGAGATACAGAGCTTGTATGCTGTGCTGCTTAAAAATAGAATGCTATTTCTAGCTTGTGGCATTTGACTACCATTGGAAAATTCTGGGAATAAACATTATCAAATCTCTACCTGTCTAAAACAGTGCTTTTATGAGGTGCTTAGTTTAATTTAAGATTTAGGGGTTTGAATAATCCCTCAAAGGAAGACATCAGAACATCTAATAATGAATTCATTCCCTTTGAAACAGCAGGAGAAAATGGGGTGCCAGAAAAAGCTAAAGGATAAAATTAACAAATAGTCCTTGGTGCAGAAATGGGGACCCAGCTCTTTTCCTTCTCAGCTGACTGACTTAACCACTGAGAAAGGTTACAGTTTTCATGTTTCCTTGGTCCAAAAAACCACAGATTATTTTATGCAAAGGAAGACAGCTTCAACAGAAGAATGCGAGAGATATGAAATCTGGAATAGTCTGTAGTCTGTGAGTTTAAAATTTTCCTGGAGAAAATTAACGATATATGCAATGTAGCAATTTCTCTAAAAATTGTAACAGAACCCACATCACTTCAATTGTTGTACAAAGGTGTTGGGGAGCAGGAGGAAACTGTTACAAGTTTTAAAAGAAAGGAAGTTCTAGCTACATATTTACTGGTCTTTCACATGTTCAGTTACCACACTGACTAAATAAAAAACCCCAACACTTTAAAAATCCCTCCATCTATTTTCTGGATCCCTTCTGGATTTGAAGTATGTCCAGCTGTGCTGCTCTGTCAACACCGAAGCTTTTACTGACATGTGCAGACATAGGATGTTAATGTGAAGAGCCCAGTTCCCCTGCTGATTGTCAGCTGAATGTATTTTTTTCAGAACCAGGATTTTGCAGCGAGGTGTCTAGAATCCCTTCAAACCTTTTCTGAGAACTGGCACACAAAATGTTTCCAATAATAGTCCAGAGTTGTTAATGTGATCTATAATAAGCGTTTTGTTTAAATGCAAATATTGGAACCTGAACAGATGCATTAACAAATGTTAAGTGAAATAAAAAAAGTACTGATGGAACAGCTTTATGTATTAATATAGAGTAAGTAATTATTTTTCTCTTTCAAATGAAACATGATGGGCTGTTATATATTTAATCATTTGTATTTTAGGCTCTAATTGTGTAAACACATGATTACATGTTTAATTTTACATTTTTTATTAATATTACATTTACCTCAAGGTTATTTGATACATCTGGCCAGAATTACTGAGCATTTTATATTGTTAGGATCCTGATGGGGACATATACCATTTAAATAACTGCAGTGTATTTGTTCTATTTTGCTGTGCAATGAACAGTTACAACTGGAACAAAATTATTAACTTGAGATTTTATTAATTCTCTTGCAGATATCCCTATTGTCCCTAATACTCTTCTGTTTTTTTTCTTCCTCTCAGGATGCTAATGGCCTGTGTTACCCTTCAAGCAAAAGCCACCAACAGACTTTTGCCTACTTGATTGTGGATCCTTGCAAGCGGCATGTGAATGTCCTGTATCACTGTTTTGGTGGAAGCCTATTTACAAACTAGTTATAAACCTGTCTGGTCCCCAGTTTTATAATGGAGGTTGCCTTCTTTCTGTTGGGTTCAGGTAGACATTGTATAGTTTTCTGACGAGGAAAGCTCTGCTCCTTGATGACGTGCTCGGAAGTGCTTCCCCTTGTACTCAGATGTTACTATGTGGTTAGTGACAAAAGTTTTCCGGTATTTACAGTTCTTGAAGCTGTTTTCTTGGCCGTTTCCCCCTTTCCCTCACCCGTTTTATCTAATAAAAAGTATTTCTGTAGAGGTCTCGTCATTTGTATGAGCCAGCTTTACAGACCCGCGACGCGGGGGAGGCTCTGCAGTCGGTGAAAGCTCTGCGGAACCGGGAGAAAGCGCGGGCGGGGACGGGCGGGAGGGGTCCCGGGCCGATGCCCCCCCTGGGCCACGGGCAGGGAAGTGCGGCCGCCCCTCCCCACCTCTCGCGGAGCGGCCTCCTGGAAACTGGGATAGAAGTTAGGGAGAAAAAAAGTTCTGGTTGGCGGCAGCAGGCGGGCGGGCGCGGAGCGAGGGGCGGCCGGGCCGGGCCGGGGGGGCCGCGCTGCGCCCCGGGCGGGAGGCGGTGCGGGCGGGCGTGCGCAGGAGCGCTGCGAGCACGGGCTCCCTCGGTCGGATACGGTGCGGGCGGGCTCAGGAGGGGCGGAGCCGGCGGCGGAGAGTGATTCGGGCGGGCGTAACTGCGAACTTTTGTTTGGTGTGTTGTGTGAGTTAGTTTCCGCCGCCGGGACAGAGGCGCCGGCCGGGCTGGGCCGGGCTCGGGGAAACGCCGCACGGCCAGAGTTGTTTTGCCAGTTGCCGCGGGCGGGTCGGCTTCCCGACCGAGGGGTGAGAAGCACCGGCGACAGCAGGACGAGCCCGCGGCCCGGGGAGCGGGGCATGCGGGACTGGGAATCCGGGCTCTGAGCCGCCGAGCCCCGCCAGGGAAGCGCCGGGGGGTCCCGACGGAGCCATGGATCCCGGGCAGCCTCAAACGCAGCAGCCGCCGCAGGCAGCGCAGCCCCCGGCCTCGCAGCAGCAGCAGCCGCCGCCGCAGCCCCCTGGCCCGGTGTCGGGGGCCCCGGCCGGCGCGGCGCAGCCCCCGGGTGCGGGGCCCCCTCCGGCGGGGCACCAGATCGTCCATGTGCGGGGCGACTCGGAGACCGACTTGGAGGCGCTGTTCAACGCGGTGATGAACCCCAAGGGCGCCAACGTGCCACACACGCTGCCCATGCGACTGCGGAAACTGCCCGACTCCTTCTTCAAGCCGCCCGAGCCCAAGGCCCACTCCCGCCAGGTGAGGGGGAGGGAAGGAAGGGGCCCGCGCCGCGGGCGGGCGGGGGGCGGCCCGGCCGGGCCGTGTTCCCCCTCCCCGCCGCCGAGCTCCTCCCGGGGGAGGCGTGTGGGGGAGGGGGCCGGGGCGGGAATCCACGGGGCCCAGCGGGCGGGGGGCGCCCGGCCGGGGCTGTCGGGGCGCTCTCTGCCGCCCCCACACCCCTTTATTTGTTCTTCCCCTGGGGCAGGGCCGCCTCCCGCGCCCCGAGACGCCGACGGGGCCGGGACCGCGGCGGGAGGGCGGGCGAGCGCTGGCCCCGTCCCGGTCTCCAGCGGGGCCTCGAACTCCACATCCGCTCCTTGGCTCTGTCGGCCTCACCGGGAGGGCGACAGTGGGGGTGAGCCCCTAAAACTTGCGTAAAAGCGCTTCGCTCGGAATGTCGCTTTGCGGTCCAATTCTCTGCCCTCTGTAGAAGGGGTCGATGAAGTGGTGCCAAACCTACACCCCCTCGCCCCGTCAGACAGTAAATATGGATGTGACTTTTCCACCATTTCAGCACGGCGCTGGGTTGAGTAGGATTAACCCCCCCACATCCACACGCACGCACATCCGAAGTTAATTCCCGAGCCAGACGCCAGGTCCGACGGCGTCCAGGCTCCGCCGGGCGCAGCGCCGCATCCAGGGCAGCGCCTGGGAGCGGGGCTCGGAGCCGTGGGGCCGCGGCCGTGCCGGCCCGGGGGAGGCGGCGATGCGGGGCAGGGCGGCGCAGGGAGCGGGGGAGGGATGCGGGCAGGGCTGGGAAGGGGGCGGGACGGGGCCGGGGGGAAGGGGCGATGCGGGGGCAGGGCCGAGGAGGAACGGGGTGGGGTGTGCGGGGCAGGGTCGTGGCTCGGCCTCCGGGAGCGTTCGGTGTTTAAGCAGAGGGACTTTTTTACCAAGACCCAAGTGCTGGTGTGAATACGAGCGAAAGCTAATTCTGTTAACCAACGTTTTGGATGGAGACTGTGCATGTCTAGTCAAGTGTTATTAAGTAATGAACTTAGTTGCTAAGCTATAAAATAAGTTTTATTATTGGCTATTGTCACTTTATCTATGTAGCCAGTAAGGGTGAAACTCGCTGTGTACTGGTGCCTGGTACCCGTGTTGTTAAGGGTCTGTCAACATTTCCATTATTAAACTTCTGTTTTGAACGATTTATAACTTGACTTCAGAAGTTCATTCCAGGCTGAACCTTGGCACGTACTCTCCCAGCCTAGGAGTTAATTCATTTTCCAAATACTCAAAAAAGCAGTCTGGCCTTCATATAGCAAGACTGAAAAGAAAATTGGAAGGAGTGGAGCTGATCTGCTTCTGTCGTTTTGCTAGCTTCTGAGTTGCAGACCTTTAATAACATAACAGCAAGGAATAAGGGGTTTATGTATAGTGTTCTCCCAGCTTGTGCGTATCTCATCGTGGTTCCATTGTGTACAAATCTGAATGGGTAGACATTAGTCTAACACTTGGTGCTGTGTCTTGTTAAACACAGTATCTGCAGTTAAATAGCTATCGTGTTTGAAATGCACTAAAAGTTTGTGATGGTCATACAACTTTTGGTTATACTTTTAGGCTTAGCCTTTATATTCCTTGTGTATGTTAATCTTTGTCTGTAAAGCATATTTAGTTGGATCACTGTTCCTTGTACCACTCAGTGGTTTCTAAAACATAAACTTGAAATCCAGCTAAGGCAAGAGAGAATCAATCATTTGCTTCATTGTGGACTGTTTTCATTTTTCCTTTCTGTTCAGTTGTGCCATATAAACATTCTGCTTAAAGAAAAGGTCTCTCTTTTTTATAGTTCTGTGATTCTCATGAATTTAAATATTGCAAATCCACTTGATTTACTACTTGCTTCTTTTGTCTGGATGTAAGTGCAAACTGATTTATTTCCAGTTGAACACATAGAACTTCATGTGTGCTTGCATACAGATGGAGTGAAGCAGAACTGTAAGAGTGTGTAAGTGGGGCCTCCTACGGTGTAATACCTTGTGTAGAGAGCTGTGACAGGGACACATACATGCACCTCATTGTAGGTGTCAGTGTTGTTCTGGTCTGTCTATAAAACCAGTTAATTGGTAAATATATTTTTTAAAGCCAATTTTACTTTAACCAGGTTTTCAGAGCTGCCTTTTCTGTTCCGTGTTGGACGTATATTTAGTACTGGCAAGGACTTTCTGTGTACTTATGAGTGGTGACTCCAGTGAATGGGTTTGTGAGTCATTTCTGATTGACTGGTTCAGCCGTTTGCTGAAGCTTTGCTTTGGATAAAACATGGACAGACTCTTTATACCCTTAAAAATTTGAGTTATTAGGAAATGTTATGTTCAGTCTTCTTGTTTAGATTATTTTAATTGTTGAATTCATGAGTCTTCCTCCATTGGAGCTCACTGCTGCCACTTGGCATTTCACTATTGCTTTTCTCTTTGTGTGATCTTTTTAATCCCTACGGGCTGGGGGGTGGCAGGGGGATGGTGTGTGTGTCTACTTGGATCCCCACACCCCCTCTTGAAAAGGAGAGTGGAAGTTAACTCCTCCAGCAGAAAGTGGGTGTGATGGTAGGGAGTGGGTGCAGTCCAGTTACAAACCACTCAATGCACGGGATGAGATCTGCTGACTGCAGGCAAGTTTGTTCTTAACCTTGTGCTGAGGAGTAAGAAGTTTAGTTTTCAAAATAAAACTAAGGGCATACAGTTAATATTTCTTGACTTGCACAGGGGCTTTTAACCAAACTACATGGAAGCTTGCTTGAACAGTAACAACTGGAAAATAAGCAGAACTTTAACAACTGAGCTATGAATTTCTCCTGAAACATTCATTTAAAGTGAAATGTCTTCTGACATCTGCATTTCTACTGAAATATAGGAATCTTAATGAAAATAATTTCACTCCTGGCAGGCCAGCACTGATGCCGGGACAGCAGGAGCCCTGACCCCACAGCATGTCCGAGCTCATTCCTCTCCAGCATCACTGCAGCTGGGAGCTGTTTCTCCAGGGACACTTACACCCTCTGGAGTAGTGACTGGACCTGGAGCTCCATCTTCTCAACACCTCCGCCAGTCTTCTTTTGAGATCCCTGATGATGTACCTTTGCCACCAGGCTGGGAGATGGCTAAGACACCATCTGGACAGAGATACTTTCTTAAGTAAGTAAAATTTCTTTTCAAATAGCTGTATCTCTGGCTTTTTTTTCTTTTGGGGATATATATGTTTTTCCCATCTTAGAATTTCAGTAAATTTCATTGTGTTTAAAATATGTATTTTTAAAAACACGCTTGTGATTTTAAGTAGAAGACCATACCACTTCTGTATTTCTCACATATCAACTCTGCTGTTTCTGAAAACTGTGTGGTACTCTGTGAATATTTGTCCTATCTTAATCTTAGCTAAAGAATGTTATCCATTATATTGTGTACAAAAAAAAAAAATCAGTGAAATTAGCATAGTCATTCTTGAACCATAAGACTTCTGGATTTGCTGATTATTGTCAGAGTTGTCATGGCGGTCAGGATACATTTTACCTTATTTTAATAATACAGATGTAAAAATACAGAGTTAACTTCAGAGAGTATTGTAGTGATAATAGGTCAGGACTTCTTATGCTTTGATTAAAAACGATTGTTTAAATATACAACCAAAATGTTTTTTGCCTACTCTCTCTTCCTGAGGCAATTAACATATGTGTTTGATTACAGTATTTGTGTTTGTAAATTAACTCATCTACATTCCTGGCAATGAAAAGGAAATTTCAGAATTTCTAACATTGTTTCATGTTCCTAGAGCTGTAACTTTTCCACACAGTGAAATTAGTATCACCTTTTCTATAACTGAAGAAAGTTAGACATGCCATCCATTTGACACCCAATCCATCAGGAAGCACTTTCTTTTATTCTGTGCAGTTTTCTAAAAGAGCAGGAACTTGTTCTTCTTTCTGAAAATGTGCCCACCAAGACCATAACTTGCCCTCAAATACTTTGACTATAATTTTAACTTTATTTAACAGCAAGTCTCTAAATTACCCATTACATGTCATTTGCAGGGTGGGGAGAGGTAACACAGTGTTACTTATGGAAAACTTGTTTCACCCAAGAAAAACTATTTATTACTACCTTTCTCACTCAAATATTATGATTAATACCTGCATTGGATTGAAGTAGTTGAGCTTGTAGCTTCAAAAACAATAACAAATTTACATTGTCTGCAATGAAAACTGAACTTGCAGAACTTCTTAAAAATGTTTCTTGCTTCTGTAGCTCTGGTATTTCCATACAGAAAAATTAGCCTTTTTCAACTGAAAAGAGGTTGCAGTAGTTGTCTGAAATTATTTGAGCCTGAAGGTTCCCTTTTGAGAACAATCATTCTCTATTAGAAATGTGAAAATAAGCATTAGCTGTAGATCTTGAAGATGTGATATTTTCTTTGGTGAAGTTTAACAGATCAGTGTGTTCTAGAATATGAGCTCTCCTGCAGGTTTTTTTGAACTGTGTAATTTATGCCGTTTGAGAACTGTAGCTCATTGAACCTTGAGGAAAGAACAGAATGAGTTTTGAAATGAAAAGCAAACTTTTGTTTTGACTGTGTTAGTGAGAGCTCTTAAAGAGCCCCTTATGAAGCATGAAAAATAGATATTTGATTTTAAAGTTTTACTGCCACAAGTGTTTGTTCTTGATAGCACTGTCAATTTTACAGAAGATGAAAGAGTTTAAGAGACGAAAAATGTCTTCCTGCTCTTCTAATGAATTTTTTTAATTGTGCTCATTCAGGTGAAATCAGAGTGAAAGATTTATCCTTGGAAAGCTTTTTTCTGCAGTTTGATTATTACCACAAAAATCCTTCCCTTTTCTTTTGCAAGTTTTTTTGTCCTTTCTTGGTGTCCTGGTATCCATTTCAAAGGGTCAGGTTTCAGCAAGAACAATAAAGAGCCTGAGACTGGAAAGTACACACAAGTCTGGCAAACTCATCTGCATGAGCAAGATCGTTTGTTCTCTAGCAGACATCCAAAGTAAATGATTGAAAGAGCTGCTAGCTGTGAAGGATGTGTCTTGAAGGGGAAAGGAGTGGAAACAAACCAGGTTGTTAGGAAAAAAAATAAAGGCTCTGCTTTTTGAACCTCTCCCTGCTGGGTCACATGCTGACCTTGGGAGATTTTAAACAGTGTAATGGGCTGTTTCCTTATGGCTTTCCTTGGGTGATGCTCTTGTATGGGAGAGTCTAATGAGGACAGCTCTGTTCACACTTGAAGAGCATTTGTTCAAAAAAGGTTGCTTAATACTATATACAGGTGAGATCCACCAACTTCATTAGAGTTTAAGATTTGTAAAAAGCATTTAAAATACTAGCACAATGTTTGCTCTGTATGTGTAGGAAGCCCAAAGAAATTTAAGACTAGTTTTGAGTAGCAAGTTTGTATACTAAAGGTTTTTTTCAGTGGTGAGTGATAAGTTCTAGCTCACACCTACAAGTCTGCTAAAGCTCACATCTTGCCCGGTTATACCTTAAACATTTGCTTGAAGTCTGAGTACTAAGATTTCTGATTCTAAATCACCTTTAATGTGGTTCCTTCTACCATATGCAGATTTTTAGTGTCTCTTCAAGTATTCAGCTTTTTTTCTTCATTGGCTGCATCGCTCCTTGTTTCCACTTGCTCTGTTCTGTAGCTACTCTGTGAAGAGTCTGGTAATCAGACTCTAGAAAGATCTTTGCAGAATAGGTAACAATATTAGATTCTTTCCAGATGTCAGTAAGCCTTATGGTTATAGTTATCATAATATGCTACAGTGCAAAGAGAATAATACAAAATTGAGTACCATACTTAATACACTCTGGAATTACAGTTGCTTCCACTAATCAATGGGTCAAGCACTGCAAACACAGTAATTTGTGCAAAGAAATGAAAATAGGGAGAGAAAATACTTAATCATCTGTGTGTGTGTGTGTATTTATAGAGATAGATGCAGAGTTGTTTAGCCAGATATTTTATATGCACACCCCCTATAGCCATACACATTAAAAAAAGGTGAGAGCAGTACTATAGGGTTTGAACCAGAACTACTCTTGTAAATTAGTCTATCATCTGGATAAATAGACCCCCTTATGTATGAATGCCCAACATATGATTTGCCAGAATTCCACTTATTAGCATTCATCTCACTGTTATGAGTAGTAATGCTGAGTTTCATTTTCCCTTAGCGATGATTTTGGGCAGTGGGTTAAGGCCTGCTTACTGTACAGCTGGTAAAACTACTTTTTATTGATACTGATCCTTCAGTGGAACTCATGAGTTAAGACTTGCTGGTTAGTAAGTGGTCACATCTGAGTCATCTCTCTCTGGTGTAGCCCATTCTTAAACATACAGTAAAAAAGCCGAGCTTGGTTTGTGTGGTGATGTCAATTGCATTGCTTTTTAACCGCTTCCTGTTAGCCAGCTGCTGCTTGACATTTCGGTGAACTGTGCAGAAAGATAGGGAATCACTCTCGAGGCAAAAGATAATGTGCAATGGGAGTAGCAGACAACAGCTTGCAGAAAGAATAAACAAATTTTGCTCAGTTTTAGAATTACCCTTATATAATTCTAAATTAGAGTTATGCTTTTAATTCTTACAGAGCTTTTGTAATACTGCTTCTCTTGTTGTAGTGTGAGGAGAAGTTAACTGATTGTCAAACAAGTCTTGTAATTATTTTTCCTACAGGAAGTAGTTCTTGCAAGCAGTTTATCAACAACTTCCTATTTTTTCTGTCAAGTGTTGAATGACTTCCTGAAGGAGGCCAAGGTGGTTTTCATTAGTATTTGTGGGTGTGTTTGAGGTGTTTATCCATCTGGGAGAAAAAAAGATTGCTGTTCCATATTTCTCATGTGCTCCGTACGGAGGTATGGTTTTGGGTGTTACAAAACCAACTAGTGTTAAGGCAACAGGGAAGTTTGTTGCTATGATTTTTGGTTTTGGATTTTTTTTATTTCCTTATGTCACACGTGAAAAATATCCAGTGATGATGTTAAATTTCTCTTGCATCCCGTTTTTACCCCTGAGTGGTACTACTCACTACGCCAATATCCTCTGCTCTTCTCAGTCTCCCCACCCCACCAAAGTAGTCTTAGTTTTCAAGGAAAAAAGATGTTAACTGGAAAAGCCGCAGCAACAGCTGCATATTTTATTGAATACCTTAATTTAGTCAAGTGTGTATTCGGAGTCATCAATATCACTTCTTATGTTTATAGTTCTATAGTTCAAGCAAGCTGGTCAGTAAAATCGCAGTATTGTTGAAAGCCAAAACTGTGGCCACTGCTTTTGATGGGCGTCTCCACTTTTGAAGATCTTTGGTTGCTAAATTGTATTTGTAATATGTCAAGTTAGTTACATTTTTACATTAATGATTTGACTGTTTAAGAAAATACTCAAAAGATCAAAGATCTCCGTAGAAAAAGCCATGAAAAAATGGTACTGTGGACACTGTCAGTTTCAGAACATAGCTGAAGGAAAAACATTAGTTTTCAAAGGAAAGCTTGCTGGGCTTTTGATGGGCGTCTCCACTTTTGAAGATCTTTGGTTGCTAAATTGTATTTGTAATATGTCAAGTTAGTTACATTTTTACATTAATGATTTGACTGTTTAAGAAAATACTCAAAAGATCGAAGATCTCCCTAGAAAAAGCCATGAAAAAATGGTACTGTGGACACTGTCAGTTTCAGAACATAGCTGAAGGAAAAACATTAGTTAAAACACTTTCAAAGGAAAGCTTGCTGTGGTATGTTTTTGACAATCTAAGGGAAGACAGTCACAGTACTACTAAGTGTGTATTTTTCCTTCTGCCTCTTACTTTGAAGTGTCCTAAGAAATGACAATAACACACATTTTTTTGAATTCGCAGTTCTACTGAACGTTTCAGTATCTTTGAAAGGGCCAAGGAAGAATAAGGGCAAATATGCCCCATTTGTGCCCCACTGAGACTGGGCATCAGTGAAAGCAGAGGCACAATTTGTTTGGTGAAATAACGTTATCCATGCATTCAGTACCCTGCTGTACTGAGGTGATTTTATGAGACTATTCCAAAAAGCAGTTGAGATATGATTTCAGGTAAACCAAGAACATATCTCATGGTTTTCACAAATGTTTTTTTTTTAAATTTATAAGCATATTGACATTTATTA